CCACTTCTCACACATGATCGCCGTCGGCGAAGCCGGCACCGGAGCGTTCCAGCACCCTCCCTAGGGCTGCGAACCAGTACAAATTAATGCACTCATGCCACGCCGCAAGCAAACTAGCTGTAGCCGATAACATCAGAAGCTCAGAAGTGTAAACTATCTCGGCTGGTCAGCCTGTGGGCTACAATGCCAAGAGCCCGACTCCCACACTAACAAACAGATAAGGGGAGGGTGGGGGAGCGAGGAGGACCAGCAGGTTGATGTAGACGGTAAATGACTGGCAGAATGGAGTAACGGAATACATGAGGTGAGATAGGAGATGAAGATGAGAAATGAGAGAAGAAGGTGGCGGAGGAGGAGATATAGGGGGTTGCGAGAAACAAAGAAGACAATATTTTCTTTTTTTCACTCTCACCTCCTGAAAAGGTCACTTGCACAACGCGTAGTTCTGTGGGCGATTACAATTTCACACACAGTCGCAAAATCCGCTAGGACACGCACGGTTGATTTGATGTGACGCAGTTTGGCAAATAATGGAATTTTGGTAGAACAGGCACACCGCAATGAGATCTTAGTATCAGTTAACTATAACGTGTTGTTGTTGTTGTTGTTGTTTAATTAGTGACCAGGCCATGCATCTGCACGACGTAATTTTAGCCGTCGCGCAAGTCTTTGCCCATCTTTTCACTTTACTCATGCCCTGTCACACATTGACGATTGTAGCCAGCGTATGGGCCGGGACGTATCAAAATTTGGTGAAATACGGCTGGCGTAGCGTCCGAATAAGTGTTGGGTACAGCTTTGGTATAAGTTAAAAGCAAGTGAAGGCACGCTGTAAGCACGCCTGAAGCCCGCTGACGACGCTTGGGTATACGTCGTAGTATCGGCGAGGGTCTTGCAACAAAAAAATTGTTGAGCATGCTCAAAATTTTCGGCCGATCGTAATGCCAGCGTATGCCCATGACGTCCGCCGCATACGCGGGCCATAAAGTTTTAGGCTAAGTTATTCAATCGTTGACACATGCGGGATTGTCGGCGTTCACGAACACGTTACTTGTAGCTTAACTGTACAATAAGTCGAAATACGTCGAGATAATGTCTAGGCGTACCCAAAACTTATTTTCCTAACGTTAGTGAGTAACGTGGCCTTTGAACTATGTGTAACTTGTCTGCAACGCAATATTGACGTATTTGACGTGTTCGCGGACGACGGGCACAGAACTTACTGAAGCGCGTTTCTAAACTTACAGCTTACGTATAATGGGTATTGGCGATGGGCGTTTAGGGGAATTGGTTATAAAATGGTATTGGCAATGTTGATAGCTGCGACGGTGATGTTGATACTGCGTATGTCTAAGTGCGGTTGATGATTTGAATCGTGCGAGCGGGAGCGCTTTTTATAGGCTGACGACAGCGTGGATCGTCGGCGATACGCTGCCGCGCGCATCTGCATAAGTTTAGACTTATCGTTGGGCATAAGTTGGTTGCCGCCGGCAACACGCAAGCAATTGTTGGTGATACGTTATCTATAAGTTATCGACACGTTTATATATACGTTACTAATACGTTAAGTATGCGTCCAACTCGTTATGAATACCTATGTATACGCTCAAAAAATTGAAAAAAAAGCATGGATAGTTTCAGCGCTATGCCAGCGTTTTAGAGGAATTTTTGATAGCGTCCGGCATAACGCTGGCTAAATTTGTCAATGGTGTGACGGGTGGCCATCACATGCGCTACTAACCGCTTTTAGAGAGTGGGAGTGAGAGAGAAGAGAATAAATGTGGTAAAGGGACAAAGATTAGTGGCGATTTGAAACGAAAAGGAAAAGAAGAGGGAGAATGGGGAGGGAATTATGAGAACATGAGGTGGAGAGATATAGGTAAAGGGGTAGGAAAGATGATGAGGGATGGAGAAGGGAAGAGGATGGTGATGGGCCCTGTCACAGCATTGACGAATTTGGGCTAGGCTAGCGCGTATGCCGACGTATGAAATTTGGCGAATACGCTGGCGTACGTCGAATAGAGTTATGGGTAAAGTTTAGGGACTTTAATCCGGAGGGAATAATAGATAATCCCTATTATGTACTCCTGATGTAAATACATTGAAATTCTCACGCGGCACTGTTGTTGTACTGTGCACCTGTTGTTTGTTGATTTAGTAAATTCTATTTAGCATTCACTAACTTGTCACTATGTGTTATTTAGTGGAATACCGACAGCTTGCTCTGTTGCTCGTCTGATTGGAGTAGGTTTAGAGAATTCTTTAATAAAAAAAATTCCGTGATATATATATATATATTACAGTTAGTAGCTATAGTAGTAGCTAGTATAGTAGCTATCGTAGTAGTAGTAGTAGTACGTAGTAGTAGTAGTAGTAGTAGTAGTAGTAGTAGTAGTAGTAGTAGTAGTAGTAGTAGTAGTAATAGTAGTAGCTAGTAGTAGCTTGTACTAGCTATCACTTTGTTGTTCAGAAAGTAGTATAGAGCACATCAATTGGCCACAGGTATTGCAAATAATATAAAAGTGTTCATCCTTGTCCATATAACTACCCCCTAGTATTTTAACTCGTTCGTGTATTGATACATGCAAGCATGTCGGTATGATATTGCAACTCGTGTTCTTACAGACGAGTTTTGTCAGGAGATGGAGGTGTTTTTAAAGAATGTTGACAACAGCAGTAGCTCTGACCCTCATGCTCTCAGTGTCTTCAACATTTGCCATCAGCTAAAACTGCATGGACAGGAATTGGAGTCAAATTGCAAAGGTTTGCCTAGTCTATGCTATCTGCTTTCTTACTCTTTCTTCCTCATTCTTCTAGCATGTTTTTCGATCCTTGGTCCTTTGATCTGCTAAAGAGTTCCATCCCGCATACCTGCTCTTGTCCTTCCTAATAGGATGTATGTCCTTTTCTAATTTTCCATCTTAATTGCTACTTCCTTTTCCCTCACTATTTCACGCATCCTTACTTTCTTCAAGCAGCATGGCTTTGCATTCGCCCAATTTATGCATTCACTTTTATGTACTTTTTGCTTATTAAATATAGATTCAGTGTCGTTCTCTTAGTACTTTTATTGAAGTTATGGCATTTATTATACCACTATTCTTGCTTCATTTTTTTCTGAATCATAAAACTGATGATACAACAGTGTTGTATCATCAGTTTTATGATTCAGAAAAAAAATGAAGCAAGAATAGTGGTATAATAAATGCCATAACTTCAATAAAAGTACTAAGAGAACGACACTGAATCTATGGCACTGAACACTGGCAGTGTGGGTGCGGGCTTGCTCATGAATAAGCGGTCATGAGACCCTTGTTTTCTTTTGGTTACAGAGAATCTCGACAAGTACTTTCTACGGTTGCGTAATGCAGCTAAACTGGATAAGCTAGACTACATGTCACGCCTGAGACTACTGGAGATCATTGAGCTAAGAGCAATGGGATGGAATCCTACAGACACCGTTAATAATTACTACAAACGGAGGTCTGCTGAGGTCGAGGTCAGTCAAAAGCCACCCTTCAGCCACGTGACTTATTTGAGCACGATCATTGCGGTGTGCCTGCAAAATTCATTATTGCAAACTGGTCACTCAAATCAACCGGTGGTGTCCTAGGGGATTTTGCGACTGTGTGTGAAATTGTAATCGCACAGACTACGGTTTGTGAAGTGACCTTTTGTGAGTGAGAGTGAAAATAAAGAAATATTGTCTTCTTTGTTTTCCAACCCCCTATATCTCCTCCTCCGCCACCTTCTTCTCTCATTTCTCATCTTCATCTCCTTCTCACCTCATGTATTTCCTACTCCTTCTCACCTCATGTATTTCCTACTCCATTTCTCCAGTCATTTACCGTCTACGTCACCTTCTGCCTCCTTCCCCCACCTCCCTTATTGTTGTTATGTTATGGTCTTGATGTTACCACTACCAGGAGATGTTTTACGCTTCTGACTTCTGATGTTATGGTACTGCTATTGTTCGTGATGGATGCATTAATTTGTACTGGTTCGCAGCTAGGATGGAACGCTGTGTTCCCAGACGGGGATCATGTGAGATAGCACACATGTGTATACTTAGTGGTTATAGACTCATAGTTAATCCCAAGGAGGTTATTGGGACGTGTGCCAAATGGCCAGGGACATAGAACAAAGGGGAGGATCAATTCATTGAATTGACTGGCGATGCTTATGTAACGACGTACTTGGCGTGACGTATATAGCGGGTACCGGTTAATGAATAACGGTAGTGCAAAACGCAAAGCAAACACGAACTAGAGGCGTAATGTACCACAAACACGTATATTGTAAGCCATGTTAACAAGGAGTGACAATAAGCAGTGACGCGTACAAGGGACGTGCAATACTGCAACAATGCAACAGTCGGGTAGAACAAAGGGGAGAGGAGTTCTCCCGCTCAAGGCGCGACGCGCCTTTTATACGCGCCCGGACTTCGTGACAGACATCCGGGCATTATCTTAAGACAATTGTCACTTCCTGAGCTTCGCTAGGTCGCATCCCTATGCGACATGCGAATAAGCGTTGCATCGCGTGCACCGCGTGCCCCTTCTCCGCACTCCATCTGTCGACCACGCTATCTGGTCAGTTATTAGACACCTCTGCTTGCTCTCTGTGCGACACCTCTGCTTGCTAGGCGTCCTGCATAATTAATGAGTTCGCGCAATGCTAGCTCGCGCGCAGCATCGCTACACTTACATAAAAGGGTTGGTTGCCAGCAGAGTTGTTGGCGTTTGGTCGTAGGAATGCATGACTTCCTATAATCAGTACCTAACAACATAATTCTTATGACCAATCGTTCATTTCCAGATTTAGCTTTTAGTAGTTATATAGCGATTATCTCATTATAGGCATCACCACAACAACATTCCGTTTCTGTAAGTAAATATTTATCACTTTATATATTGCAGCGGTATGATGAATACCAATCAGACTAGCATGAAGCTAAGGACAGCCCGCACAAAGAAGATTGAGAAACCGCGCCCGCTACGTGCGATTAGTCTCAACATAGAGCACACGCATGGTAGCAATGGGTTTAATCAAGGTGAGGTTCAATTCTTAAATATGATCTGGCAATAATCAAATTTTGACAATAATCGAGATCATGAGAGTATAGTCATGAGAGAGTCGAGGTCACGCGAGCTTGCAGTCCTATAATTGCATGAGCACTGAAAGCACATGCAGGGTGCAAATGCTAGTGCCCATTCAAGGATTGTGTGGCGTTTTGCTTAGATTCCTTTGCTAGAGGATCCTTTGTACGGCTAAAATTTCAATGTAAAATACATTTTTGCCATAGAACGTTGCTTACGAAAACGCATTTTTGGGACTATAGACTCGTTTGAAAAATGCATTTAATAATGCTAATTATTACCTTGTTTTATTATTTCGATTCTATAGGGACTTATATTTATAGGCTGTTGTATCTACAGTCCAACGAAGTGTTTTGGAATTTTCGATCTTGAGCATGTGTTTAGAAGCTCGGTGTAGTTTTCTATGAATTTTAGAACTACCTTATTATTACAAATTTCTGATAAATTGAATACGAGAGTGGGGAAATTTTTTTTTTAGCCCTATAGCATGTCAGTGTGCCAATGCATACTCACCTGGCTAATGCTCATCCGATGATTGTTGGCACAGTACACTGTTGGCAACAGTAGTGTAAGTGGAAGGTTGAGGAATTTCAAGAAAAATGGGAGCTGAGGTGTGACTTTAGGTTCAACTTGAGCTAGCTGTGATCAACAAAAAGGCGTTCAAAATGATTATGAGTAATTAAACATTTTCTAGTTTGCGCATATTATTGTGCAGTTTTAACTCCACGAAACAATTAAGGTTATAAAAAATTTCGAGAATTTCTTGTGTGAGAATTTGCTGATTTGACTGGAATTTTGAGTCTTACTTGGCAACCCCACCAGAGAGTTGGGTCTTTAGCAACCCCACCCAACATTTAATGAGACTAACCCTACAGCTCTGCGTGCACGTGGTGGTAGTTTAAATAGTTTTGGATATTCGATCGCGTGTAGTGAGCTATTTTTCAGGAAAAGCACAAGATACACTGCTTGAGCATGCTGTAGAAAGGGATACCGTGCACTATATATGTATTACTTACTGTGGGCACAGCTAGTTTTTGCTGTGTATAGACATGCCAGTTGCAAATTTGTTTCATTTGTGGCGGTTTCACCATGTCGTGGGATTAGCTAGTATACGTATCTTCGTGATATATAGTTTTTCCCATTTACATATTTTCAGCTGAATTCCTAGTTACTTCTATTTTCTACTGAATTCCTGAATTTTCACTTAATTTTTAGCCTTATTGCCTAATTAAATGGTTGTTTTTGTAGTCATTTCTGTCATCTAGCTATATAATAGGTAAACATTGATATTCAGATCTTTTCGTACGTGGTGTCAGGCAACGAAATTTATCAGCCCGATTGGCGAGATGAAGGAAAGATAGTTATACCTCCGCCAGGGGCTTGGTGGAGATTATGTTTTCACCGGCGTGTGTTTTAGTGTTAGTTTGTGTGTTTGTTACCATGCACGTTTCAGTTCACTTACGCTAGGTGCGCTGGCTGTAGATCGACTTACAAACACGCAACCACAGGCTAAGGGGCAACCACAGTCCTCCCACCCCCCGTCACCTACCTCCCCGCATCTCATCAACACGCCGCGTCGCCAGTAATGTTCATAGGCGCGGTTCTTAGCCGCCTCTTTACAGTGCGCCACTAGTCTCAGCAGCAATCCAGGGGGCGCTCCGCACGAAAAGTTGAAAGTCCAGCTAATCTGAAGGTCACCCTTGAACGGTAGCGGCGTCCAGTTGAGTTGCTAGACGAGAGTAAATAAAATGATAGGCTAATAAGAAACAAAACGATCCGCCGCCATTTTCGCTACACGAACGCACGCCAGACACGCAAACGCACGTAAATTACGCGCGCGCACTCACACACACACACACGTTCACGCACGCACGCACGCGAACACACACACACGCAAGCACGTACACACACATGCACACACACACACGCGCGCGCGCGCTCGTGTACCCACACCCACGCACGTTCACGTACGCACGCGCACGCACACACACACACACACACACACACACACACACACACACACACACACACAGCAGACGAGTGCAGGAGCGCGTACGCCCTAACATTAGCACACACACACGCACACGCACACGCACACGCACACGCACACGCACACGAGCACGCGCACCCGTACACGCAAACGCACACGCACACGCACCCACGCACACGCACACGCACACACACACACACACACACACACACACACACACACACACATATATATATATATATATATATTTCGTCGCGCAATTGCGAATGAATTTAATGGTTCCGTCGTTGCTTCATTGCAACGCGCCTCTGTTTGCAGTGACAATACGGTGCTCTATCGAATATGAAAAGCTTTTATATCCTCTTGCGCTTAGAGCGGGCGTAGAATACACATGTAACTGCGACCACCACCACCAGCACCACCACCACCAGCACCAGCACCAGCACCAGCAGCAGCAGTAGCAGCAACGGCAGCAGCAGCAGCAGAAGCAGCAGAAGCAGCAGCAGCAGCAGCAGCAGTAGTAGTAGTAGTAGCAGAAACGGCAGCAGCAACGGCAGCAGCAACAGCAGAATCATCATCATCATCATCATCATCATCAGCAGCAGCAGCAGTAGCAGCAGCAGCAACGGTAGCAGCAACAGCATCATCATCATCATCAGCAGCAGCAGCAGGGTGAGGGTCACATGGGAGGACATGCACCATACTGTATCCACGCAACGCGCCATAACTCATATGTCAACACGGAGGCTGATGCACAGATCAAAGTGCACACGTGCCGTGGTGTATAACATGCCGTTATATCTCACTATAGAACACCCGTGCAATGGTGTATAACATGCCGTTACATCTCACTATAGAACACACGTGTCATGGTGTGTAACATGCCGTTATATCTCACTATAGAACACACGTACCATGGTGTATAACATGCCGTTATATCTCACTATAGAACACACGTACCATGGTGTGTAACATGCCGTTATATCTCACTATAGAACACACGTACCATGGTGTATAACATGCCGTTATATCTCACTATAGAACACACGTACCATGGTGTGTAACATGCCGTTATATCTCACTATAAAACACACGTACCATAGTGTGTTACATGCCGCTATACCTTACTATAGAACACACGTGCTATAGTGTGTAACATGCCGTTATATCTCACTATAGAACACACGTGCAATGGTGTATAACATGCCGTTATATCTCACTATAGAACACACGTGCCATGGTGTGTAACATGCCGTTATATCTCACTATAGAACACACGTGCCATGGTGTGTAACATGCCGTTATATCTCACTATAGAACACACGTACCAT